TTTCCCAGTGTTACCAAATATGGAATGCTGGATTAAAGAAATCTCTTCAGGCTCAGTGCAGTGGCTCATGTCTGTAGTCCCAGATGTTTGGGAAGCAGAGATGGAAGTATCTTTTAAGGGCAGGAGTTCAAGACCAGCCTGGGCAACATAGCAAGACCTCCTCTCTACAAAAATATTTTTCAAAATTTAATAAAATAAATGTAGCTAGGCATGGTGATGTGTACTTGTAGTCTCAGCTACTCAGGAGGCTGAGATGGGCAGATCTCTTGAGGTCAGGAGTTTGAGGCCAGCTTGGGCAACATAACAAGACTCCTCACTCTACAAAAATATTTAAAAATTAGCCAGGTATGGTGGCACTCAACTGCACTACCAACACTGGGGAGCTGAGGCAGGAAGATGGCTTCAGCCCAGGACATTGAGGCTGCAGTGAGCTATAAGCACAAAACTACACTCCAGCCTGTGTGGCAGAGGAGGACCTTGTCTCACAATACAAATAGAAATACAAATAAAATAATGAAATCTCAAGTCAGAGCCTTTTGGCTCTGCAGCCCTTGCAACTGTGGAGCCGTGCAGTGGGGTTTTTATCACTGGGAATGAGGAGACCCCTTCCAAGTATTGTTGCCTGACTAATCAGTGTTTTAAAAAATATGTTAATTTGGCTGGGTGCAGTGGCTTACGCCTGCAATCCCAACACTTTGGGAGAATGAGGCAGGTGGATTACCTGAGGTCAGGAGGTCGAGACCAGCTTTGTCAACATGGCAAAACCTTATCTCTGCTAAAAAAAAAATACAAAAATTAGCTGGGCATGGTGGCAGGTGCCTGTAATCCAAGCTACTTCAGAGGCTGAGACAGGAGAACCATTTGAACCAGGGGTGGGGCAGAGGTTGCAATGAACTGAGATTACATGCTTCACTCCAGCCTTGGGGAAAGAGAGAGACTGTCTCAAAAAAAAAAGTATTACTTATATCAACACATAGTAGTTTTATTGTTGTTGTTTAAGATGGAGTTTGCTCTTGTTACCCAGGCCGGAGTGCAACAGCATGATCTTGACTCTCTGCAAACTCTGCCTCCCAGGTGTAAGCAATTCTCCTGCCTCAACCTCCTAAGTAGCTGGAATCACAGGTACCTGCCACCACACCTGGCTAATTTTGTATTTTTTAGTAGAGACGCGGTTTCAGCATGTTGGAGGGCTAGTCTCGAACTCTTGACCTCAGGTGATCCACACACCTCAGCCTCCCAAAGTTCTGGGATTATAGGCATGAGGCATCTCACCTAGCCAATTTTATTATTAATATGTAATGAATAATAATCATTTTAAAATTTTTGTTTTGTATTAGTTATATCAACATGTAATGATTTTATTATTAATATGTAATGAATAAAAATATTTTTAAATTTTTCTTATTTTTAACTTTAATATAATTATTTATGTAAAGAAAAAGTCTTAGCAGTCTTATATAAAGGTAAAAAATGTAATGGGATGCTAGACCCCAAAAGATTTAGAAGTATTACTCTGAGAACTTCTAGTTTAGAAATGTTCAGAGAAGCCACATACAACTTGCTACTTGATCTATTTTTATTTTTCTTTTTTGTTTTAGGATATGGGGTCTCACTCTGTCAACTAGGCTGGAGTACAGTGGTGCAATCACAGCTCACTGCAGGCTTGCACTCCTGAGCTAAGGATCCTCCTGCCTCAGCCTCCTGAGTAGCCAGGACTGTAGCTATATGTGATGACACCTGGTTATTTTTTAAATTTTTTCATACACATTGGGTCTCACTTTGTTGGTCAGACTGGTGTCAAACTCCTGGCCTCAAGTGATTCTTCTACCCCCACCTCCTATCCTAGGGGCATGATCCACCACAATCAACACTTGTTCAATTTTCTAAAAAAATTAAAATTTCTAAAGTAAGGCTTTGGCAGGAAGATAAAAGTAAAAAACAGAAGAATAAATTCTAATGATTTATTCCCACTTAGTCTTTTGACAGCAAGAACTTTTAGTAGATACATTTTTTACAAAGGCAAATAAATAATATTTTACAGGAACTTCAACACACACTATAATATTCTTACTTCTCTGACATCAGCTCTTGGTTTACTTGACTATAGCTATCAGTATTTTGCTCCTCTGATCATTTTTATCAACTTCCTCACATGTTAACTTCTCTCCAAGGTGTGTCATATTGTGACATACTGCTGCTGTATGAACATGGCCAGGGTCATCCTGTTATACATGTAGAATGCTTCCCTAATTTCTTTTTTTATGCTTTGTCTCTGTGTTTTGCATTTTTCTTACCTTTATGGTCAGAAACTCCAGAAAATCAATTGTACTAATTTATTACCATTTACTTTATTCATTAATTTGCTTATATGGAATTTTCCCCAACATACCTTATTACAGTTTCTAACCTTTTTTTTTTTTTTTTTTTTTTTCTAGGACGGGATCTTGCTCTGTTGTCCAGGTTAGAGTACAGTAGTGCTATCACAGCTGATTGCAGCCATGACCTCCCCAGTTGAAGCCATCTGCCCACTTCAGCTTTCCAAATGGATGAGACTATAGGTGCTTGCCACTATGCCCAACCGATATTTGGACTTTTCCTATACGAGGGTTCCAGAGGGCTGACTGCAAAACGTGAGTTTGCATAAATTTTGACATATGCAGAGACCAGGGGCTGGAACTAATCCTCTCTATATACTGAGGGATGACTGTATATGTTTTTACAATCATGCTGTAGGACACATATTGTTACATAGCCTTGAAAATGATAGTTTTATTGTCACATAATTTTTAATTGAGTGGGATAATAATAATAAAAGTAGCAGCTGGCCAGGTGTGGTGGATCATACCAGTAATCACAACACTTTGGGGGGCTGAGGCAGGAGGATGGCTTGAGGCCAAGAGTCTGAGACAGACTTCTGTAACAAAGGGAGTCAACATCCCTACAGAAAGGTATATGCATTAGCCTTGTGTGGTGGCATGTGTCTGTACTTCCAGCTACTTGAGTCCAGGGAGTCCTCCAGCCTGGGTGACAGAGTGAGACCCTGTCTCAAAACAACAAAAAAACTAGCAGCTAACATTAACTGATCTTTTACCAGGTGCCTATAAATACTATAGTTTAATTTCTTTAAGTGTTTCTTCTTTTACTTAAGCACTCTGTCTTAAATTACTCCCAGATTTTCACTGCGTTTGTGCAGATGACCTTTTGTTTAGATTGAATTGTCTCTAAAGGTATTTCCAGAAATGCGATTACTGTCAGTCATGGTGAATGGACATTCTCATTGCCCTTGATATAAACTGACAGGTTTTGGGTGCCTCCCAGCTATAATCCCAGCACTTTGGGAGGCTAAGGCATGAAGATTTCTTGAGGCCAGACATTGGAGGAGGCAGTAATAGAGACACTGTCTCTGTTATTCTAAAAAATTGCCAAACTTTACCTTGGAAGGCTTATATACAATTTAAACACCCTCCATAGTATAAGAAAGTGCCCATTTCACTGCACCTTTGCCAGCACATGGTATTATAATTTAATAAGTTTTTTATTATTTTAAACAGAGAAAAGCCCTCATGTTGCTTTATTTATTTGTCACATTTCAACATCTTTCCTTATCTTAGCTTATTAGCTCTGTTACTTTTCTGTCTGTAATTGGTTTTCTTTGTTGTTTTGTTCTTTGAGATGGGGTCTTGCTCTGCCACCCAGGCTTGACTGGAGTGCCAAATTGTGGCTCACTGCAGCCCTGACCTCCCAGGCTCAAACTACCCTCTCTCTTCAGCTTCCTGAGTAGCTTGGACCACACATGTGTGCCACCACACCCAGCTAATTTTTTCTTTATTTTGGATAGAGACAGGGTCTTGCTGTGTTGCCCAGGCCAGTCTCTAGCTCCTGGTCTCAAGCAGCCCTCCTGTATTGGCTTCTTAAGTTGCTGGAATTTTAGGCATGAGCCACCATGCCTGTCCTTGGTTAGACCTATATTCTCTAGAGTTCTCTTGACTTTATGCTAGCCAATCTCATTATGCTGTAGATATTCCTCAAGAAGAGCAACCTCAAGGCACATAAGCGTCAGGTTCCCCAGTGTTTAAATGAAGGAAAAAATGCTAAGAGCAGCCAGAGAGAAAGGTCGGGTTACCCATAAAGGGAAGCCCATGATACTAACAGCAGATCTCTCAGCAGAAACCCCATAGGCCAGAAGAGAGTGGGGGCCAATATTCAACATCCTTAAAGAAAAGAACTTTCAACCTAGAATTTCATAACCAGCCAAACTAAGCTTCATAAGTGAAGGAGAAATAATTTTTTTTACTAATAAGCAATGGCTCAGAGATTTCATCACCATCAGTCCTGCTTTATAAGAACTCCTGAAAGAAGCACTAAAAATAGAAAGGAACAACCGGTACTAGCCACTCCAAAAATATACCAAATGGTAAAGGCCATCAACACAATAAAGAAACTGCATCAAAAAATGGTCAAAACAACCAGCTAGCATCAAAATGGTAAGATCAAATTCACAAATAACAATATTAACCTTAAATGTAAATGGGCTAAATGCCCCAATCAAAAGACACCAACTGGCAAATTGGATAACAAGTCAAAACCCATCAATGTGCTGTATCCAGGAAACCCATCACATGCAAGGATACACATAAGCTCAAAATAAAAGGATGAAGGAAGATTTACCAAGCAAATGGAGAGAAAAAAAAGGAGGAGTTACAACCCTAATCTCTGATGAAATGGACTTTAGACCAACAAAGATCAAAAGAGACAAAGAAGGACATTACATAACGGTAAAAGGATCATGCAACAAGAAGAGCTAACAATCCTAAATATATACCCACCCAATACAGGAGCACCCAGATATATAAAGCAAGTTCTTAGTGACCTAAAAAGAGACTTAGACTTCCACATAATAAAGTGGGAGTCTTTAATACTCCACCATCAATATTAGATCAACGAGGCAGAAAACTAACAAGGACATCCGGGACTTCAACTCAGACCTGGACTAACCAAACCTGATAGACATTTACAGAACTCTCCACCCCAAATCCACAGAATATACATTCATCTCAGCACAATATCACACCTACTCTAAAGTTGACCACATAATTGGAAGTAAATCACTCCTCAGCAAATGCAAAAGAATGGAAATCACAACAAACAGTCTCTCAGACCACAGTGCAATCAAATTAGAACTCAGAATTTAGAAATTAACTCACAACCACACTTCATGGAAACAACCACTCGCTCTTGAATGTTGACTGGATAAACAATGAAATAAAGGCAGAAATGAAAATGTTCTTCAAAACCAACAAGAACAAAGACACAACATACCAGAATCTCTGGGACACATTTAAAGTAGTGTCTAGAAGAAAATTTTTAGCAATAAATGACCACATGACAAGCACGGAAAGATCTAAAATTGACACCTTATCATCAAAATTGACAGAGTTAGAGGAGCAAGATCAAAAAAACTCCAAAGCTAACAGAAGACAAGAGATAACGAACATCAGAGCAGAACTGAAGGTGATAGAGACACAAAAACCCTTCCAAAAAAAAATCAATAAATTCAGGAGCTGGTTTTTTGAAAAGATCAACAAAATAGACTACTAGCCAGATTAACAAAAAAGAAAAGAGATAATAATCAAATATATGTAATAAAAAATGATATAGGGAATATCACCACAGATTTCAAAGAAATACAAACCACCATCAGAGATTACTACAAGCAATTCTATGCACATAAACCAATAAACCTGGAAGAAGTGGATAAATTCCTGAACACTTACACACTCTAAAGCCTAAAGCAGGAAAAAGTTGAAACCCTGAATAGACCAATAACAAGAGCTGAAGTTGAGGCAGCAGTTAATAGCCTACCATCCAAAAAAATCCCAGGTCCAGATGGGTTTACAGCCAAATTCTACCAGGCATACAAAGAGGAACTGGTACCATTCCTTCTGAAACTATTCCAAACAATCCAAAAAGAGGGAATTCTTCCCAAATCATTTTATGAGGCCAACATTGTCCTGATATCAAAACCAGGCAAATATTCAACAAGAAAAGAAAACTTCAGGCGATTCCATGATGAACATAGACGCAAAAATTTTCAATAAAATATTGGCAAACCGACTGCAACAGCAAATAAAAAAAACTTATCCATCACGATCAAGTAGGCTTAATCCTGGGATTGTAAGGCTGCTTCAACATAAGCAGGTCTATAAACGTAATTCACCACATAAACAGAATCAAGGACAAAAACCACATGATTATCTCAATAGATGCAGAGAAGGCCTTCAACAAAATCCAACAGCCCTTTATGCTAAAAACTCTCAATAAACTAGGTATTGACAGAACATATCTCAAAATAATAAAAGCTATTTGCAACAAACCCACAGCCAGTATTGTACTGAACACTGAAGCATTCCCTTTGAAATGGCACTAGACAAGGATGCCCTCTATTACCACTCTTATTCAATATATTATTGGAAGTTCTAACCAGAGCAATCAGGCAAGAAAAAGAAATAAAGTGTATTCAATTAGGAAAGGAGGAAGTCAAATTCTCTTTATTTGCATACAACATGATTGTATATCTAGAAGACCTCATCATCTCAGCCCAAAATCTCCTAAAACTGATAAGTAACTTCAGCAAAGTCTCAGGATACAAAATCAATGTGCAAAAATCACAAGCATTCATATACTCCAATAACAGACGTACAGAGAGCCAACTCAAGAAGGAATTCCCATTCACAATTGCTACAAAGAGAATAAAATACCTAGGAATACTACTAACAAAGGATGTAAAGAACCTTTTCAAGGAGAACTACAAACCACTGCTCAAGAAAATAAGAGAGGACACAAATAGTTGGAAAAACTTTCCCTGCTCATGGTTAGGAAGAATCAATATCGTGAAAATGGCCGTACTCCCCAAAGCAATTTATATATTCAATGCTATCCCCTTAAACTACCTATGACCCTCTACACAAAATTGGAAGAAAACCACCTTAAACTTCATATGCAGCCAAAAGAGAGGCCACATAGCCAAGACAATCCCAAGCAAAAAGAGCAAAGCTGGAGGCATCATGCTACCTGACTTCAAACTATACTACAAGGCTACAGTAATTAAAACAGCACAGTACCGGTACCAAAACAGAGATATAGACCAATGGAACAGAACAGAGGCCTCAGAGGAAATGCCACACTTCTACAACCATCTGATCTTTGACAAACCTGACAAAAACAAACAATGGGTAAAGGATTCCCTGTTTAATAAATGGTGTTGGGAAAACTGGCTAGCCATGTGCAGAAAGCAGAAACTAGACCCCTTCCTGAAACCTTACACTAAAATTAAGTCCAGATGGGTTAAAGACTTAAACATAAGGCCTAACACCATAAAGACCCTAGAAAAAAACCTAGGCAAAACCATTCAGAACATAGGCTGATTAGAGTGAATCAGCAGCCACCAGAATGGGAAAAAAATTTTTGTAATCTACCCATCTGACAAAGGATTTATATCCAGAATCTACAAAGAAAAAAAACAGATTTCCAAGAAAAAAACAAACAAGCCCATTCAAAAGTGGGTGAAGGATATGAACAGACACTTTTCAAGAGAAGACATATATGAGGCCAACAAACATATGAAAAAATGCCATTGTCACTGGTCATTAGAGAAATGCAAATCAAAACCACATTGAGATACCATCTCATACCAGTTAGAATGGTGATCATTAAAAAATCTGTAGACAACAGATGCTGAAGAGAATGTGGAGAAATAGGAACACTTTTACACTGTTGTTTGGAGTGTAAATAAGTTCAACCATTGTTGAAGACAGTGTGGAAATTCCTCAAGGACCTAGAAATAGAAATTCCATTTGACTCAGCAATCCCATTACTGGGTATATATCCAAAGGATTATAAATTCTTCTATTATAAAGACACATGCACATGCATATTCATTGCAACACTGTTTACAATAGCAAAGACTTGGAACAAACCCAAATGCCCATCGATGATAGATTGGACAGGGAAAATGTGGCATATATACACCATGGAATACAATGCAGCCATAAAAAACGATGAATTAATGTCCTTTGTAGGGACATGGGTGAACCTGAAACCATCATTCTTGGCAAACTGACACAAGAATAGAAAATCAAACACCACGTATTCTCACTCATAGTCTGGTGTTGAACAATGAGAACACATGGAAACAGGGAGGGGAGCATTATACACTGAGGTCTGTTGTGGAGGGACTAGGGAGGGACAGTGGGGGGTTAGAGTTGGGGAGGGATAACATGGGGAGAAATTCCAGATATAGGTGATGGGGATGGAAGCAGCAAACCACATTGCCAGGTATGTACCTATGCACTAATCCTGCATGTTCCTCACATGTACCCCAGAACCTAAAGTGCAATTAAAAAATAAACACACCTTAACTCACCAAAGAAATTGAAAATACCACTAATGCTCTTTACACCCAAAGAAATCATATAAGATTACAAAACTTCTTGCACCTATAATCAAAGCCAAAGTGTCCTACACAAGTAATGCCACACATATATCTTTAGAAAAATGTCCTCCCCCATGAAAGTAAATTCAAAAATGGAAAGAAGCAACTGTTATAACACATTCAACTCAAGGACACAGAAAACATAAAAAATCAAGGAAATATGACATGTCCAAAGGAACACATCATTTATCACCACTAGATCTTACTCAAAAAAGATATTTCCAAATCCCAGGTAAACAATTCAAAATATTAATTTTAAAGAAGCTCAGTGAGACATAAAAGTATTCTGAAGAAAAATAGAAAGAAATCAGAAAAAAATGAGGATATGAATTAGAAGCTTACCAAAGGGATAGTTATTTTTTCTAAAAGAAGCAAATGGAAATTCTGGAACTGAAGAATTTATTGACATTTGGGACTATATAAAGTGACTGAATATTTGAATTAACAGTATCACCAAAAGAAAAAAAAAAAAGGAAAGTATTAGAAAACCAATTTAATGAAATAATAGATTAAAACTTCCCAAGTCTAGAAAGAGATTTAGACATACAGATGAGGGATGTCCAGTGATCCTCAAGAAGATACAATGTATAAAGGTCTTCTCCATGGCACGTTATAGTCAAACTGTCTAATGTCAAAGAAAAAGCATGAATCCTAATAACAGCAAGAGAAAAGTGTCTGGCCACCTATAAAGAAAACCCCATCAGTGTAGCTGCAGGTTTCTAAGCAAAAAACCTCACAGGCCAGAAGAGAATATTATAACATATTAAAAGTGCTAAAAGAAAAATAAATTTCAACCAGGAATATTATATCTAGCAAAATTATTCTTCATGTATGAAGGAGAAATAAATGTTTCCTATAGAAGTAAATGCTGAGAGAACTCCTTACCACTAGACTGGACCTACAAGAAATGATCAAGTGAGTCCTAAATCTGGAATCAAAAGAACAGAATTTACCATAACAAAAATACAGAAATATATAAAACTCACTAGTACAGCAATCACACAAGAAAGAAAAAGAACACAAAAACTATAGCTACAGAAATCTACCAATGTGCAATGACAAACAATAAAAAAAGAAATAGGCCGGGATCCAAGACGGCCATTTAGGAACAGCTCAGGATTGCAGCTCCCAGTGAAAGTGCAGAGGGTGAGTGGATGACGCATTTTTATTGCCCACAGACAAGGAAATTCCCAGGCGAAGGAAATTCCCAGGCGGAGGAAATCCACGGGTCACCAGCATGGCTGTTCTGGCCAGGGTGGCTGTGTCAGCCGGCGCCGCTGCTTTGCCCCGCACAGCTGCTTTGTCAGCACCCCGGTGCAGTGGTTCTCCATACAAAATGCACTGGTTCCGGTGACCTTTTGGCTGGCGACTGGAGCCACAGGAAGTCGCCCATTCATCTGTTTAAAAAGGGGACTGAAGAGGGAACCAGGACAGTAGATTCCAGGACAAAAAAAGCGCCACAAATCTCAGTGCTGCTGTTTAAGCCAGCGCAGTGAGTCACTGCACGGGAAAACACACATATCCCAGTGCCTGTTCAACACGCGACTGGAACACCAACTTAAAAAAAAAAAATTCTCTGAGGCAGGGAGCCAGGTAATCAGGCTCGGCTGGTCCCACCCCCAAAAAAGAACAGCAATTAGAAACTCTATGGATTATGAGTTGCACAAAAAGCACAGCTGAACCCGGGATGGTCCGGCTCTGTGGGGGAGGGGTGTCCGCCATTACTGAGGCAGCCCACAGCTACAGAGGTAGTCAGCCAATGCTGAGGCAGCCTGCCATTGCCAAGGCAACCCGCCACTAAAGAGAGACTC